GTTACAGATCAGGATGAAATCTGCTCCCACTAATCTCTTCTCTTTATTTAATGTGGGAATCAGGAAACGTCAGCTCGGATCGCTGGGTTTATTGTGTCTATCGAACATGGACAAATTATCGGTGATGTGGTAAATATGGAAGATTAAAAAGAGCTTATTAAGGGACCCCACGTGTAGTCAGTGGAGAAAGAACAAAAAGGAAACTATACAGAGGAATATTTATTGATAATAGACGTGCAGCTCAAACAGTAAACCAGAAATTCAAATATTCTGGTTTAGATTTAGCTCATTTGTCAAGTTAAAATTCTCTGACAGCTGCTTGTAACTTGGGATTTTCTGCCGTTCTTTGCTTTTAGTTTGATTAAACTGTTCAGTTTTATGTTTTTGTGGGCTGTTGGTTGGACCAAAGAGAAAATGGAGATGTCTGTTTGTAGTAATTATGAGAAAAGATCTTTTTTTTTCATGGACTAAAGTGAGATAATTAAGACACATAATCACTGTCAAGTTGAAGTGAGAAAGCAATAGGTTGTTCTTTTGCTAGTTTCTTTGAGTTTTGTCCCGTTTTCTTCATTTTTAAGACTCTTAATCGACACAATAATTAATACAGGAAATAACCGTTTGGGACATTTTTGGTTATTTTGCGTCACGAGACAATAAAAGAAGCAAGTTGCTGATAAAAATAGTCCACAAATGGAGGAACTGTGTCATAAAAGCCCATTTTTTTCCAACAAATCAGTTCAATAAACTCCACAGTGACTCTCATACAAAAACAAAGAAACCAGATTATAATTAGAATATGAGAATCGTCTGTACCTCTGCTCCGGGTGTGTTTTTCTACACTATATTCCCATTAGAATAAAGTGCTGCAGAGGTTTTGTCTGTTTAACACCTTCAACCGACGCCTGACTGCACCTGAGTCCCACTTTTATGGATTTTATTTTTTTTACTTTTTATGTGTTTTTCGTAATTACTCGGAGAGGATCTGAACACTTCCAGCTGCTCTTCTTGAAAATCCACAAAACAAACAAGACTTATAGTATAATTTACACATTTATTAGCTCATCCACCCTATAGGAATGAATAACCGCTGTTGGTTTGTGTGGATTTTCGATGCTAAAACCGCCTCTAAACCTGCAGACGTGGTCGACGAAATTGAAGAAAAATGGTTCAAAATGGTAGAAAATAAACTCTCTATTGGTTCCTTTTAATTAAACTCTGGATTGAATTGTTGCTTTACTCCTCTTGACCACAGCGTCCTTCCACATTTGGCGCTTGAGGCCTTTAATCCTCTAATTTCGGTGCTTTTTTTTGGGGATGTTTCAGGTAAATAAACGACGGATGAATCCAAACACAGACTTTATCCAAAAAGATCTACGTATACGAAAACCTCTTTCATTAAATCCAATCTGACTCTATTAGATTTAAGTCCAATCAAAATGATGTGTGATTATACAAATCCACTTTCTGGAAGATTAACCACCAATAATCTGATCAAAAGGTTACCGAGCCGCTGTGAGGAAACAGCGGGTCGAGGCGTGAGACCGAGAGCTGAAGATGTCGAGGGTTTGAATCCCTCGGCGGCGGCGGCGGCATCGTCCACCGAGACTCGCCGCACACGGAGGCGTATTAGCAAATTATTTTGGGCATCAGGGTTAAAAAAAAATAATCATAAAAAAAAGCCACAAGCCAAATTCTGTAACATCTGTCAGCTGTAAAATCCAGTTTTGGAAAGAGCTGACCTACTTCCTTTTAAATCCACGTTACAAATGACTTCAGCTGTCAGGAGCGACATCAGCGGCAAGGTGGCAGGTGGATATTTCTGTTCATGCAGTTTGGCACAAATATTAACTGGTGTTGTAACATAAACCTGAAACACGATGCTGTAACCAAACACCGGCTCCTGAAAATGACGTAAAAACAAACTGCATCTTCAGTCGTGTTTCAACTCAACGTCTGAGGTGGAACCATTATTCTTTAGCTTTTAATTGCTTTCTGGTTCGATTTAGACACCGATTGTTGGAAAATATCACACTTTGGTTGAAACTTTCACAAGAAAAGCTGCTTTTTAGACGCTTGGTTAAGTTTAGGCAGCAAAATGTGTTGGAAAATCGGTTAAAATAAGATCCTTTAATGAAATATTTGAAGCTTTTTCTTCACATTTAATATACGATTGGTTTGCTGACCATTAATTAATAGAATAAATGGCCAAAATAAGTTGATTACAATCATACTTGTGTTATTTTACAAAGAAATCTATCTGGAAGAAACTACATTTCCCTTAAAATGTAACTGACAATGAAGCAAAGTTGTATAAAATCGCAATTTTAGGGAGATTTGGTGCAATTTTACGACTTTTAATGGGACAAGTTGTGCTTGAAGGCGTCCGGACAGGTTGCAAGAAGCAAAGTTGTGACAAAAAGGTGCACAAATAATTGAATTTGGTTTAAAAGATGAGGTTCTTTTGAGAAAAGTTATCAGTTTAAACAGCAATAAAGGATGAAATGTGAGAAGTTTGGCTGCAAAAAGTCTAAAATGCATCAATTTATACACACAACCAGCCCCTCATACACAAAATGTATTGTTGTCAAAGCAGAGTAGCCAAAAATATCCTCTAATAAAGACGTATGAAGTGACAAAGACCTCTGTCGGCTGCAGGATTATAACCAAGGAACGAAGGAAGAGTGTGTTGGTGTTACAAAGACAATAGAACCAATAGAGTCAAAACATCAGCGTTTGAAACTGTTAGCCTCCCGTTTCCTTTTAATCATGGCTGCACTCTTTTCTAATCTGTCATTCAACCGAAACCATCAAGAATCTTCCTGAAGAAGCTGCTTTAGCTGCAAAAACCGCTTAAACACGTTTAATTTTAACAGTTTAGCGGCAACAAATGGTGTCGTCCTGCTAACGGGGGCATCGGACGAGAAAACGTGTCGTTGGAGAGCCAAACTGGAGCAGATTCTGGTAACGTGATTGGTGTAACAGGCCTCGGATGTGACGGGACCGCCTGTTGGACGGAGCTGCATGGACGACAAGCCTCGCAGGATTTAGATGCATTACTGATGAAGTGTTTCTTTGTTTTGTTTAATGCAAAGCAAAGCAAAGTTGCCCCACAGAGCTGCAAACGCAACACATTTGTCATGTTTTTGTGGTGATTCAACACCTCGTCTGAGGGCTTTTCGTTGCTCTGTGCACCTGCCATTGACACACAATGATATTCTATAGATTTGTGGTGCATTTAAAAAAAAAAAATCTGGTATTTTGTGAGCCTGATTCCTGCAGTATTTGCGTGCAGCAGCAGCAGCAGCAGCAGCAGCGTGTTGGCAGCCCGCCTGTCTGCTGTTTGTGTTTAAGCTTCACGAGTTAAACTGTGGTGACACTTTGACAGGTTTCCCGTTATAATAAGACTCCAAACCAGGTTTCTTCCCTCATCGTTTCCTGTCACAACTGTGTCAGTTTATTATGGGCTGTTTTTTAGGCAGAGATGCTAACAGAGTGTGTGTGTGTTTGTATCTGTGTGTGTGTGTGTGTGTGTGTGACAGACAGAGCCAGATGAGCAGGCAGATGTTTCCTCCGTCTCTACTCCGACTGTCTGAGAAAGACTGACAACAGCTGGACCGATGCCAGACACACACACACACACACACACACACACACACACACACACACACACACACACACACACACACACAGGTAGACAAAGCCACAGCCGTGTTGTTCTACCTGCACGCAGCCGTTTTCTCTTTCGCTTTGTTCGTGCTGATATTAGCTTCTTCCTGCGTCCACTCGCCGCTGAATTCTGCTAAAAGCTCGACTGAGAGTTTCACCTCTCAAGAAATTTAAAAACAATTCCAATAAAAACCTTCTGAGGTGAAGTTTCGCCTCAAAAAGGGGCCAATAAATAAAGTCAACTTTTAAAACTCATACTAGAAAACTTAAGTTTCAGGGATTCAAGCTCTTTTTTTCCAATCTAAAAATCAAAGAAATCTAAAATTGGTCCAGAACGCTTTTAGTTCTGCGACTGGAATAAAGCTCCAGGTACTAAAGTGTTAATTTAATTACCAAACTGAATAATCAAGTGATTATGGAACTCTTGTGGATGCTAACGTGCCACCAAGAGTTCAGGTTGCAGGTTTTTTTTTAAAGCTTTCATATTATTGCTTATATTTAATGCCTCTTAAATTCTACAGATTTTTGTGCAGCTTCTTTTGTACGGTTCTGTCACTTAGTTTATCAGATGGAAAGCAAAAATTCTCTGTTAAATGCTGGATTTCAACCATTAAAAGAGCCGTCGAGTGGCGCCGCAGGAACACTGACCTCAAAGCTTTTGCTGAATCTTAACAAATATAAGATGACAAAGAAAGTCGTCCAGTAACTGACTCTCATGTTGAGTTTTTAATCCTCTGAATCCCAAAACACAGCACCAGGTATGAAAACCACGTTCACATTTAACAACAAATCGAACTTCTGTCGAGTTTTGTCGAGAAAATTAATCAAATCTGAGCTTGAAATCATTAAAATCTCATTTTTGTCTCACGTTTAAATCGCCCAAAACAAACTGTTTGCACGAAATTCTGCAAAAAAACCCAAACTCCTCAGTATGAACAAAAAGTCGTGTTCTGATCTTAATCCAGTGCAAATCTGCTGTGTTTCTAATCTGTAAAGTAAAAACATCTTTTGTCTTCTTTTTGTGAGTTTTTTTTGTTTTCTTTGCATCTTTCTTCGACCTGTTTCCCACAAACAACGTCAATACGTTCCAGTAAATCACAGATTAGTCATATGTTGTGCAAATGCTTGAAACACACACATGGTGGAATCACTTCTACATGACTCGAGTTCTCCAGGTGACACTGGTCCTGTGTGAATAAGTACGACTCCAGACCACTAATAGACCAACAACCAAACATCCAGTGATGTCAGACGGGTGTTTTTATGGGATGTGATGGTGCCAACAACTCTGAAGAGGGTTAAACAGCGAATCAGAGAGGAGCTGGAGACGTTACCATGTGGTTTTCCTGCTCTGTCTCGTTCTTTCCCTGCATGCTGCTGCTTTCTTCTTCGTCCGACCTGGAAGAAAACAGGAAGTTAAAGACCTCCAGGTGGGAAAACCGACCACACCCTGACCTCTGCCTGTAAATAACATCCAGTCACACGTGTCCATCCAGGTGATACCTTATTCCGAGCACTTTCTGCGTGAAACACTCGAGTCTCTGTGTCTCTTCCTGGTAGCGCTGCAGGTCTTGGGTCAGCAGGTTACGGAGCGCGCTCAGTGCTTCCTCCTGGAACACGAGTCTCTCTGATTGGACCAGACGCTCGGTGACGGAGGCCTGAAGCTCCCGGCAAGCGCACAATTCAAACTGCGGTGGGAGAAAATGGAGAAAGGTGGTTAGTAACGGGTTTAAAACAAGGAAATACAGTCGTGATCGTTCATAAACTCGCTCGTGTCCATGTTAACTCCCTAAACTCCAACGTTCTGGACGTGTTTTTCTGCATCTCTTTGGAAACAGCACAACTACGACTAGCAGAGAGAGCTAAGAAAAGCCTTTTTTGCAGCATAACAAAGCTTTAATGCCATAAATCATAAAAAAAGAAAAAATAAGGTTGAATTTCTTTGATTGTTTTTGGTATAGCAATGGAGAAAACCTGGAATCTGCATGTAAACATTATTCAAAGTGTGAACAAGCGCTGCTAATCCTTGGAAAACAAATGATTGCTGTAAATATTTCTCTACTTTTAACACTGAAATCTACAAAATACCATAAACTTGCATCATTTAACTGCATCTCATCGTCTTAATCAGCAAAATATTAAAGAGAATGAAGGTAAAATGTAAAATAAATAAAGTTGAAAGTGGACTTTGAGTTCAGATTGTTTTTGTCACACTTTTAATTTAAGGTTTCTGATCAATATATTTATAAAAACCCAGTGGAAATATAGTAAAGTGAGCTGAGAGGTGACGGGATAAGCAAAACAAAATGAGAAAAGGCAACAAAAGAGGGAAGAATTAACTCAGGAAGTCGTTTTATCTATTGTTCACTGGTTTAGATGATCATTAGATTCTCATTTAATGATTGTTTGTTTGCATTTTGTGAGGCAGGAAACTGGAGAAACACAACAATGAGCAACTTATTGCATGTTCAAGACTGCTCACATTGGATAAACACTGACGAGCATGTGGGTTCATGCATGTGACTCCTATTTTTCAGCGTCTAACATCAACTTACGGTGGATGTCTGAAGGCAGAAGCTTCTCTTCAACTCGTCTTCTGTCTGTTTCTTCTTCTCCTGAAGATCAAACAGCTCAGTGGTCAGCTGCTGCTGGCGGCTTTTATTCTGAAGGAGTCTGAAAAAAACACAGAAGGATGAACGTTAACGCCCGTCTGAGGTCTCAGATGCAACATGAGGAAAAAAGTTCTGTCCTCATGACAAAGGTGGCAGCGAAATGCACCACAGTAGACATTAAATGCACATATTTGTTTGGTAAAATCATCCCACACACAAACTAAAGTAAAAGAAGCCGACAAGACGCCTGCTGTGCTTAAAGAGAAAGACAATACCGATATAATGTGTGACTGGGAGGCTTTAGCTCGAAGGTTTTTATGTATTTTTTCTGAACAAACAAGCAGAGCAGCTCCTGGATTCAGTGGAAACCAGGAAGCAGAACAAACTGTTTGTTTTGTAGCTACTGAGAGGTTTGCATGAGAAAACACTGAGGACAGTAACAGCGTCAGGTTATCGACGGGAACTTTAAATGAACCAAATAATCAACCCTCTTGTCTCCTGAGTCCATTCAGGTCCTGACAGTCTGCAGGTTTTTAGTCGTTTCTTGACCACGTCCGGCGTTTCTGACTAACTCCTGAGCTGATGTTTAACGAGACGGAGTTCCTCCCCTGAGCAAACACTCGGTGTTTTCATAGACACACACGAAGACGAACAGCTGATGCAGAGTTTGTGATTATTGCTTTCTGTTTAAACCAACAGCAGCCAAAACCGCATTCAGCCGTCATGTGAGTGATAAGCAGCAGAAGTCCTGAACTGCACTGGAGGTACTTGCAACAGTGGCAGCAACGTTGTAGTATTACCATTAGTATATAACTAGGGTCATCTGTAGGATCAGTGATAACAGAACACAGCAGCTATGGAGTAGTTTGGGAAATACAGTACATAGCAGTAATAGTACCATTTATGACAGCTGTAGCAGCCGACAGGCACCAGTACAGAAGCGAGTACACTCCAGTACAACAGGTCAAACTGGTACCACCCTCAGTAAATGTACTGACAAGTTTATCCTCTTATGAACATTTAAAAACAAATACTTTACAAGACAGAGATCCCTCCAGCGTGTTGGCATCACGCTAACTAACTGCAGCTCCTTGTCAAACACCGGCACATTTCAGATCCACCCGGAGAACAAGAGGAACTGAGTGGAACCGAAGCACCGACCCGCAGTAGAACCACCGCCGGTGCAGAGACCCAGTATCAGCTCAGTCCAAGAACAGCTCTGTTCTGTGGGTTCTGCGCAAACAGCAGCGATACCAGCTGTTGTCCTGCCACTGCAGAGTCTGGTGTCTGATGAAGATGATGGAGACGAAGCTCCAACCACCAATGGAGCATCTTCAACAGAAGATTCTGGCAGCTTCACCTCTGGAGAACCAGACGCCAGAACAGCACAAAGGAGAGCTTCAGCTGATCTCTTTGGAACTCACCAACTACAGTAATGGCATCTCTGAGGTGAAGGCTGATACAAACCAGAGCAGAGATCCAGGCAGCTGCACCTCCAGAACATCAGAGACAAATAGATCTCAAAGGAGAGCTGCTGTTTCTCTGTTTGCTCTGTGGGCCCGGCAGAAACATTGTGATACGATCAGTTTGCCCACTACAGAAGAGCTCCCGAGGATCCAGAAGAACATGGATCCCCGTCAAAACCAAACAGAGGAACACCTGAAATCAGCTGTTCCTCTACAAATCCAGAGATCAGCCAACTGAGCAGGAGAGTCACCGTGGTCCACCATCGCGGACGTCCTGAATCAGGTCCAGACATGTGGGCTCATTGCAGCATCGCCACTATCGAAGAACTCCTGGTTCTGCTGCAGGAGATGCCCGCCGTGCACAAACAGACACTCGGATAAACGGTCCTAGACCAGAACGTGGCTACAGAGCAGCGATCGATCAGTAACCAAGGCTCAACTTACAACGATAATGTCTTCTGTACATGAGCCCGGCAGCGTTACCCCAGATACCAAAGTCAACAGTCTGACAGGGTGGTGTCCCTTCCGGCCCAAAAACCACCACAGACTCCCAGATGCAGCTTCTTACAGACGAGCTTTGGTGAAGGACAAAGACGACGCAACGGCTACATCTGGAGTCACTGCAGAAACCACCGACAGCAGCGGCAACAGAGAAGGTTCCCACCAAAAAGATTTCACCAGCAAAACCAGAGACAACTTCCAAATCTCCAAAGTTCAAGTGGAGACGTCTACAGAGTCCAGAGACTGACAGGAAACCAGCCGACCGCCAAGTTAAAAGTCCTCAAGTTGCTGCTGCAGTTTCCAGACTGACGCTGGCGTTTTCTCGTATCACTCTTTGATACGACTCTTTATTTACTTCTGAGGTAAATAAATAAAAAAATGTGCTTGAACTGAATACATGTAAAGACTGAATATATGCAATGAACCGAGGTAAGAGTTCATCACTCAGTGTTCTACGAGAACATTCAACTTAAAATAAAACGACTTTGAGGTGGGTTGAGTTTACGTCAGTAAAAACTGTTGGTGAGATACGGTCGTGTTAACATAAAGTACCAAAGTTTAGAGGTTCAAACATTCACATGAATACAGGACTGAAGGCTTCCCAACATCATTCTGCCTCTGCTGTAGCTCATTCTGCCGATATGGCTGAAGACATCCACATAATGTAAATAAAACTTGATTTATCCGATTAGTCCAACCTAAACTTTGCGCAGTAAAAGAGTGAATGCCAAAAAGCTTTATTTAGACTCTTTTCCTGTTCAACCGAAACAAAAAAAGTCAATAATTTATGAAGCTGCAAGACGAAAATCGTGTGATTCTATCGATCTGAACGGTGGTGAGGTTGGACGGATTGTAAATAACTAAGAACTGTTTTCAGACTTTACATATTTTACCAGTAGCTGCTGCCTGAAGCATGAACGTGAAATAAAACTTGATTGACCTGAAGTCAAGTGTGGCACAATTAACACACATTTTTAAAGTACTTTACATAAAATAATACACCATATTACGCTATATTCTTATAGTGTCTGAAAATACACGAGTAGTATCACCTTATATCCTCCTAAAAAGCAGGAATAATTCACTGATAAACGTCCGGCCTGACTACATATGAACATAACACTCCAGCACAGCAGTGCAGTTGCCGGTGCGTCCACCGGGAGGCGCTGCACCTCTGCAGAGTGTCAGGAGAGCAGGTGACGGGAGGCGGCCGAGTGTTTTGTTTGTGGGGACGAAGAGGATTCTCATCTGAGGAGCCTTTGATGAACTAACTGAAGAATCGACGCGCAGACTGAAGACAAATTAGCAGAAACGACGCACAAACAGCGGCGCAGGAACACAAAGGCCCTCTGGGAAATACATTAGCACGGCCTTAATGAGGTTTCTCAAGGAGGCCTGCTGACTCGGCGACGAGCAGGACGAGGAGAATCTGAGGGGAAGCCTGAAAGACGAGCCGCAATCTTTGATTCGCTCCGAGCCGCTGCAGGAAACCGGATGGATGTTTGAAACTCCAACGAGGCAAAAGTCTCCACGAATTAAAGCGACGTGTTTGTCTGCGTCGCCGCGACGCCTCGATACAACAACTTCCTCCTCCTCCTTGTCGTATTTATCCAGTAATTCTGCTGCTCTGCTTTGCTCTCTGAGGCTGTTTTACAGTTTATTCTTGATGTAAAATGAAATTACAACACGTTTGACTCGACTCGTCTCACGAACTGGATATTTTACGACAATTTAAGATCGTTTACACTTTATCACAATAAAAACACTTTAGTTTTCTCGCAAGTATAGCTTTGAAATATACTCACATTACACAGTGTTCTGCTACAGATATGATAATATTTGATGCTGACGGTGCTGCTAAAGTACCTCAGCTTTAAAGTCATCTGTCCAGTTGATGAAAAGGTTTTTTAGAAATGCAAAAAAAAGGTCATGCACAAAATTAACCAATATACTGAGAAGGAAATTTTGTGTTTAGCATTTTTCTTTCAGCCATATAACTCCAGTGATGCAGCGTATGATTATGTGAGATGTTTTATCACAATATCAGCACCGTTTTCTTGCAAAAAATCCAAGTGTAGCTTCAAAAAAGTCCCATCAACACACCATAAACAAAAAATACTCCGATTACACACTGTTCTGTTACAAATCTGATCACATTCGACAGGTTTGTTGAAGCATTTCAGTTTTGCAAGTCGGTATTATGCAGCAAATTAATTTGTCCAGTTGATTAGAGGTTTTCTAAGAAATGCAAAACAAAAATAAAAGCTTGTGCACAAAAATATGCTGAGGAGGAAGTTTCAGGGCTGTCGTCTTTGGGTTTGTATCCAGCTGCTGCCTAAAGCATCTTAGGAGGGATTTTTTTTTTTTTAAAAAAAGCAAAATAATAAGTCAAATTTACTAAACAGTGGGGTTTTGACTGTATTTTAGAGCCACATAACAGCAGTTTAACAATGTTTAAATGCATGTGTGACTACAAACTGTTCCTCCATTATCACCTGTTTCATGCATCTTTTTTAAAAACACACACACTGAAGGAGATTCAGAAAACTTTTCCAGGATTTCTTCATCCATCATTACTTAAACACCACCAGATGTGACATTAGGATGCGGCTCGGCCGGCTGCAGGTTCTGCTCCAACTTCAGACGCGACTCCGGGTCCACGAGGACGAGCCGCTCTGTCACCTGCCAATCAAAACCCATCTCGGCCAATCAAACGGCTTCATTAAAACTCTGCGGAACATCATCCGGCGCGGTGAAGAGACGGTAATTACCAATGAGTGTGTGTGTGTGTGTGTGTGTGTGTGGGAACTGCATTGTCAAGGCGCATGTACGGCCGCAGTGTGTTCACATGTAAACACACACACACACACACACACTCTGTGCAGCATGTCAGAGCCTCACACACATCTCCGCCAGCTGTCAGCGTGTTGTGATTACGTACGGGGGGAAAAGCGTGAATACGAGGCTCCATAATTACGTGAACGTATGTGACAAACACATTTCGCTCCATAATTGCAGGTGAAAAACGCGTGGGTGTTATTTATTTAGATTTCTTTTTTTTACATTAATGTATCTCACCACATGCAGCCTGTCA